TATTTTATCTTTAATCCTAAATTAATCCCTCTCTTTAACTTTGAATTAGGATTAGATTAATTTAGGATTAAAGATAAAATAAAATGGGTCATATCATATTTTTTAATGGGTCGGGTTAGGTGGATGGATCACTAAATGATTTAATTTATTTTTTAAAATTTTTGGTTTGTTATATAAATAATTAATATCAATAAGTTTTAATTAAAAATAATTTAATAGATTGAGTGACTTTCTGATGAAAGAGTGAATAGTTGAGTGACTTTCTGAGGAAAGAGTGGATAGTTGAGTGACTTTTAAGGGAAAATTGAAAGTTGAGTGACTTTCTGACAGAAGAGTGCATAGTTGAGTGACTTTTGAGGGAAAATTTAAAGTTGAGTGACTTTCTGAGAGAATAGTGCAAAGTTGAGTGAACATCTGAGGTATTAACTCCATTAATCTGATGTGTGAAAATGAAGGATTTTAGGAATTTATAAGAATACTTAAAAGGTGAAATTTCTATCATTTTTCCTATAAATAAATGTACATATGGATATTAGAAGGAAGAACAAACTTGTAAATTTTGGAAATAGTGAGAAGATAGGGCTCTTAGGCCTAATCTAACCCGAAAGTACAAGTTCATATAAAGAGACCATTACCATCGCTTGGACGACATAACATAGGAGGCACAAACAACAATGGACCTACTTTGATACATGTGCAAATAATCACCTCAATTAAGTTATTTGTTATGTGCTTCTTCATTGATCAAAATATACTTTACAAATTACAACTACAACTCAAGCAAGATTACAAAACTGGAAGAAAAGAAAACAGACAAAGTACAACATGATCCAGATTCCTATCTACTTTCTTTTATTATTACAAAAATACAAAAAACAACAACATGGAATACATGCTTACTGCAACTTGTTGAGACAGCATATTGAGGAAATTATGAAGAGGATTGAGTGAGAGCCATATATTATTCCTCTGATAAGAAGAAAATGGTAGGCTTCTTTGGCTCGATGATCTCCACCGTCCCTTCCAACATCTTAGCCACTTTCCCCATTGATGGTCGTGCATCTGGGCGATCTTGGATGCACCACATTGCTGTCTTCACCATCCTGTTCACCAAGTCAAAGTGTGCCCTTGAATCATATGATTGTTTGATTCGAGGGTCCAAAATATCGTCAACATTCATATCCTTAAACACCTTATCAAATGCCCAAGCAGGGAAAAACCATTGATCACTTTCCACCTTTGAGTTATGATGCTCAAAGTTCCTTGAACCTGAAACTATCTCCAAAAGCACTAATCCGAAGCTGTACACATCGGCTTTAGGAGTGATTGGATCAGCCTTGGTCCATTCTGGTGCTACATATCCTGGTGTGCCACGAAATCTTGACATGGTCATCATCTCCTCTTTCTTCTTTAGCTTAGCTAGCCCAAAATCAGACACCTTTGGGCAGAAATCGTCGCCTAGGAGAATATTTTCAGGCTTAATATCACAATGTAATACCCATTCCAGACACTCTTCGTGTAGATAGGCAATTGCTCGTGCCACACCAAGCGCAATCCTGTACCTGATATTCCAATCGAGTATAGGTTTCTGTTCATCTGGTGACTGGATCGGAGCCTTTTGGAAGAGGAATTCACCCAATGAACCATTAGGTACATACTCATACACAAGTATCCTTCTACCCTTCTCAGCACAAAACCCCCACAACCTCACCAAATTCAAATGGTGCATCCGTGCTATGATCGTGACCTCGGCCCAGAACTCAGCATCACCGCCTTTGACATTCTTCAAGCACTTCACGGCAACAACACGTCCATCACTTAACTTCCCTTTGTAAACATCTCCAAATCCACCCTTCCCAATTTTATCAGTGAAATCATTAGTTGCATTCTTGATCTCAGAAAAGCTAAACCTTTTCGGTCCAATCGCAGGCATGACTTCAAGACCAAAAGTCCTAGCCATATCCCTATACTTAATATACTTCTTGAGAAATGCCCAAAAGAAGAACACTCCACTAATCAACTCAGCTGCAAAAATCGTTGAAATGATCACAATATTTCTAGTGGTTGTCTTAGACTCTTCTGGTGGAAATGGAAGGCTAATTCTCACTGGACATGAAGTCTCCATCAAACTAGTCATGCCTCTGAAATTCGATATATCGTTCTCTCTACTATCAACTCTCAAATACATAACAAACTCGGTACCTGGTGACCAATATCCATACAACAATTTCTCCAAAACAAGCACACAATATCCAGTCCCATCATACTTAAACAAAAAACCTAAACAATCATTCTTATCTGAACAATTCTTTTCACAACTCGAAAAGCTCAAAGCTTTAAGGTCTGTTTGATTACCCACACCAGTAAAACTAACAAAATCAAGAGGTAAATACTTACTAGATTTCGATTCTTTCGTCATCAATGGTATTTTCCTCACACAAGATTTACTAGTGTCTTTCCTAAAACCAGGTGGACAAACACAAGAAGTTTGAGTTGTAGAAGTATCATACATGCATATAGAGTTTGTACCACAAGTACCATGTATTGTACATAATTGATTAACAGCTTGCCAAACAATTGTCCAATTTTTAGCACTAATATCAAAACTATAGATTCTCATATTCCCATCTTCATCCAATTTCATCCTTCTCAGTTTCCCTTTCTCCCCGAAATCCGACGACAAAAATCTTCCATTAACTTGAGTAACTTCCCCTGTTTCCTCCAACCTCTGAAGGGCATTTTGGGAAAAAGTGAAATAACTATCGTTTCCATTGAAGTAAAGGGTATTCGAATCAAAATGGAATTTTCCATTACCGGAAGTTAAATTTGTTCCGGTGATGTTCTGGGTCGGAA